CTTCCTTACTCTTCCAGGAGCCGCCACTCCAGGGGCTAGCCTGCACCCCCAAACCCCTCACGCTACCTCATCCCAGGCCACTGTGTCCCAGCTAGTTTTCAGTCCAAGGCCCCCTGGTGGCACAGTGGTGTTAGAGGAGGCTGGTTGCTTTGCTTCCTTAAGGATGTACACCCTCAGGATCCCTAGGGAGCGGTCTCTCTCTGTCCCCTAGGCTCCCTGTGAGTCAGCTCAGCAGCTATGGGTGACCTTCCGGTCTCCAAGAGACCCTGGTGGGGCAGTGCTGGGGTGCTCAGCTGTTCTCCATGAAGCTAGAAGCCACCTCATGCACATTGCCCTTGGTAAGGTGACACCAGAGAAGGCCCACACTCTGCCATCCCATCATTCTGACGTGGAGAAACCCTCCAGGGCCCCGAGTTGAACTGCCCCTGTGGGGTTCCTTTTATGGCTATTGTTATTATTTTATTTTACTATCATTTTACTGGGGGCTAATACAGCTCTTATCGCAATCCATCCATCCATCCATTGTGTCGAGCACATTTGTACATTTGTTGCCATCCTCACTTTCAAAACCTTTTCTTTCTACTTGAGCCCTTGGTGTCAGCTCTTCATTTTTTTCTCCCTCCCTCACGAACCCTTGATAATTTATATTATTTTTTCGTGTCTTATACCGGCCGCTGTCTCCCTTCAACCACTTTCTCTGTTGTCCGCCCCCCTGCCCCTGTGGGTTTCTGAGACTGTAGTTTGTTTTATGGGAGCATTGTTTCCCCGAGGATCAGCTGGTGGGTTCGAACAACTGACCTTGCGGTCTGCAGCCCGATGTGATCCACGATGATACCAGGACTCCTTAGTAAAGAGAGAGGAAGACCCTCCAGGAGGTGGGTTGGCATCGGGGCTGCAATGACGGGCTCAAGCCTAGCCAAGAGGAGGTGGGGTTTCAGTCTGTGGCCCACTGGTCACTGTGAGCTGAAATTTTCCCTGGCACTGCAGCAGCAGCAGCAGTGGCTCTGTACCAGCAGTGAGCTTGACGTCCCCACTGCCTGTCACCCCCCCCACCCCAAAGGCCAACAGCCTAGGAACCCCTGGGGCAGCTCTACTCTGTCCTGCAGGGTCACCATGCGGAGGAAAGACTCAACAGGGCACAGGAACAGCCTCTAGTCCCAGCGAAGGGACAACTCCCAGAGGCCACTAGGTTCAGTAGCCTTTCCCCTGACCCTGAAATGAAGGCCACTCCCTGGGGTCTGCCGAGCGTGTGACACACGGGACTCGTGACCAGCCGTGCTCACACCCAGGGGAGGCGGTGGCGACGGCGGCTCTGTCTGCTGTCTGGCACCCCCTGCCCAGCTGGCAATGACAGTGTCTGGGAGGACCGCTGAGCTCACGGCATTGCCCCATATTTTCCAAAGTCCGTTGCTCCGTTTTGAGATCGCAGTGCTGAGCGCTTGACCTTGGCCAGCTGTCGCAGACGTGAGACCCAAGCCACCAGAGGGATTCAGGGTGGCTCAGATAAACAACTCCTTCCTGAGTCACTCAGAGCCACTCTCTACCACTCCCCCATCGCCCCCACACATGCCACCACCACCACCCTGCCCCCGGCCCCAAGGGCTCCTGGAATCTCTGGGAAACAGCCCTGCAAGGCTGACCTGGCACTGACCAGACCGATGTGCTGCCCATCCAGTGCCTCTTGGCTGGTGGCTTTCCTGGGGTGGCCGCCTCGCCCTGTGAGCGTGTGACTCAGGCACTGGTTTATTTCCATGCTCAGCATGACAGGTGCCTGGTGTTTAGGGAACAGCCTCTGATCTGTGTCACCGGTCACTGGCTGTTTAGAGCGCACCTGCCTGATGGCTTGCGCTGGGTCCCACATTATCTTTCTGGAACACAGCGCCGAGTCGAGGGGGCATGCAAGTAAACAAAAAGCCGCAAGGCCGACCCAGAGAGTTTAATGGGCAACACCCAAGGCCAGCGTGGGCCAAGAGGATGGCCAATGGCCACGACTTCCACCCTGGTCTAGGTGGGGGCTGAGCAGTGAAGAGAGGAGTGGTTCCAGGCAGAGGGAACAGCACACACAGAGAAGGGTGGAAGCAAGAGACAGCAGGGTTTCCATGGTTGGGGAGGGCGCGTTGGGGTGCAAGGGGGCAGAGGGAAGCAGCACAGAGACCAGGGAAGTGTGACCAGGCCAAGGACAGGGAACTTGACCTCAGGAGCACTGGGAAGACATTGGTGGATTTTCAGCAGGAAAGGCAGGGGTTGGGGTGGGTGGGGGGCATGGTGTGATTTGCATTTCATGTGGCCTCCAGCAGGCTGGGAGCTCTGGCAGTGCTGAGCCAGGAGGTAACAGTGGCTTAAGGAGCCCTGGTGGAGGCGCAGTGAAGCACTCAGCTACTAACCTAAAGCTGCTGGCTTGAGCCCACCAGCAGCTCTGCGGGTGAAAGACCATGTGTCCACAAAGACCTACAGCCTTGGCGCCCCATAGCACTGCTCTGCCCTGACTGATCTAGGGCTGCCAGGCATTGGATTGGGCTCATCGGCAATGAGCTTGGCTTGTTTTGCTTTGGATGACGGCTTGGGTGAAGCTAAGGAATCCTGGTTATGCATTGGGCTGCTGCCTGCAAGGTCAGTGGTTTGAAACCACCAGCTGCTCCTCAAGAGAAAGATGGGGCTTTCTACTCCTGTTAAGAGTTGCGGTCCCAGAAACGGACAGGGGCAGTTCGACCCTGTCCTGTGGGGCCACTGTGAGCTGGCATTGATTCAATGGCAGAGATGAGGATGACAAGAGACTGATGAATCCCAAAGAGAGTGAAGTAGGGAAGGGGGGCATGGTTGGACTCGCTAGCCCTTGGGCCACTGGCTGGGGGTGCTAGAGGCTGCGGGGGGCATTTCATGAGACAGGGAGGCCAGGCAGAGGAACAACGTGGAGAAAGTTTGGGGACAGGTGGTGCTTGGAGCCCCTATGACCTTTTTTTTTTTCTGTCGTGAAATAATTCTTTATTGTGAATTAGTTTGCTATTCAGTAATTTAAGTTATTTATCAAATCTGCAATTGCTCGTAAGTATCCACAGTCTATAACCCCTCCTGAGACCTAACGTGCTACCACACAAGGCCAGAGTTCTCGTTAGAGGCAAGAATGGCAACGCTTTGTCAGACATCCTTTGGGCATCTTGTCAAGAGGGACCAGTCAAGAGAAGGACTTGGTAAAGTGGAGGAGCGGCACAGGGAGGAAGGTCCTCACGGTGGTGAGTTGACACAGTGGATACAACAATGGTCATACGCGTGGGAATCCTGAGGATGGCCCTTCCTCGTGAACCTAATCCAAAACGATCTCATGTACGTCGGAAATGGGAGCGCTTTACAAATGGGGTAGAGACCCAGAAGCAGAGGTTAGGGGTGAGAAGGTAATGACATTAGCTGTCTAGGTGTATGATGATTGCATCCCAATATCTGGTAGGACTGCTGTGAGCAAAACTTACAAAGGCTTGTAGACTTGCAGGGTCACCCTGAGCCCCTGAAGTTCCTCTGTAAGAATATCCTGGTGCTTAGAACCTCGACAACCCTTGTAGAAATCTCGAGGGACAGGGAGCTCCGGAAGGGAGAACCTGCACAGTGGCAAAATATGATGAAGCAGGCGCTGTAGGGCAGCCATGGAGACTGGATTTCCACCCAACACCAAGGTGCTGAGCAGGGAACCAGTGGCCCAGAGCAGGCTGCACGGCACTGAGCTGGGAGTTATCAGTGTCACAGCCAGCTAAGGTCAGGTGGTCAGGGTGGCTGAGACCCTCTCTAGCAGACTCGGAAGGAATCCAGGTCTTAAGTCTGCAGTGGACACACCACTCAGATCCAGGGACCTGAGGTGGCTGGTGCAGGGACACCAGCACAGGCTTGTCATGTCAGAGTCCACACACATGAGCAGCTGCAAGCACCTCCAAGTGTTCTTTCACAGAAATTATCATCCTTTTGTCGGGTTCAATGTCATGTTCCTCAGAAAAGCAGATAAGATAGGCCACATGCACATTTTATTTTCAACCAATTATTATTATTATTATTATATTTTTTAGCCAAAGCTAAATTTTCATTTGGAATGATCAGATCTTTTCAGACAAATTGAGGCATGTTGCATTTGGTCCCTGCAGGGATCAATTGAACTCATTCAAGATGGCAAAGATGGCAACCAAGTAAGCTATTTTCTGCAGTTTACTTTTATCACTGAAAAGTGCTTTGAACTGCGGTCTTGCTTTCTGATTAAAAAACGTTTTGAGTTCATCACGAAGCTCAAAAACACATTTAAAATCTTTTCCTCTCAACAATCCTCTCACTTCAGTGTGAAATAGCAGAGCATTGTTGGGAGCACCCAACTCGTTGCACAGTTGTGAAAACAGTCGACTGCTTAAAGTGCTCGCCTTCACAAAACTGACAGAACTTATGACGCTTTTCATGACTCCTTGTAACTCTTGTGGCAGCATCTTCATTGCTAATCTTTGCCGATGAATCATAGAGTGAGTTCCGATCACTTTTGGTGGCTCATTCAGTACCCAACGTTGAAATCCAGATCGACATCCTAGCATAGCTGGAGCACCATCTATGCAAACAGCACAAACCTTTTCCCAAGAGATCTTACGCTCTTTCAGAAATGAACCAACTGTGTCAAATGCATCACGTGCAGTAGCAGAGCTGATGAACAACTTTCCCAAAGGAGTAGAACTTCTCTCTCTCTCTCTCCACCTACACAAGGGACCTTGTCTTAGAAACTCACCAGCCTCCAACAGTAAGGCCTCGGCGAGGCTTACCCACAGAGTGGTGAAACCAGAGAGTACATGCTTCTACAAAGCCTTCGTTGATAAAACGGGCCAACCCACGTGGGCTACGTAAGCTTTTCCAAAGGGCAAGACGTCGTAAGAAGGCTTGGTGGCCCCTTTGGGGGAGCTCACGTGATAGCGATACCTGTTGCCTGTGGACAAAAAGATCAGTATCCAACCCTGGCTGTTTGTTTGTTTCTCCTTTTCCTTCAGGGCATGCGTTTCACAGATTCAGAAACTCCTCACGGAAAAGCTCAAGAAAACGACCATCCAGAGTACAGAGGCAGGCGAGTCTTGATCACCAGCTGTGGGAAATCCGTGGGCTCAGGTCTCAGTGGAAGGCAGGCCAGGCCACTGGTCCCTACGTTGTAGCTTGCACACACCCTGCAGTGTCTAACATAGCAGATGCCGCTGGTAAGGACCTATTACATCCAGAGCAGGTGAGCAAAGCCAAGTTTAGCAAACGCACCTGAGCATACTAATGGCCACCATCAGGCAAATGCAATGATGCATTTTGAGTCACATGAGGGTCCTGGACAGGTGAGCTCCTTCCAGAAACATTCCTTGAACAAACGCCACCCCACAGGGGGGACTATCTGAGAACTATCTGTGAGCCAGCCAAGGCGAGGCTCACAGATCTCATCTGCCCACCTTGATTGACTAGGCAGCCCTGGCTTGCAGGGAGTGATTAGTAATGTCTGCACCACATCTGCCGGCTTGAAAGCGGATGGATGTTGGATGTCCACATGTGAGGAGCCACAATTCTGCTGCGGCCCACGATCATGCTCATGGGTGGGATGCTCTCTCACCTACCCTGGTCAGACCACCTGGGAGGCCCCACCACAATCCAAGTTTACTACTATGCAAGGCCAGGTTCCAGCCACCTGCACCAAGCAAGCTCATGTGTCAGGTGCCTTCGAGTCGAATGGACCCCATGGGCCTGAGTCGGGCCGCCCGCAGGATTTCCCAGGCCATGATCATTACGAGAGGAGATCGCCAGGTCCGTCTGTTCTCCTGGAAAGCCACGCCGATGAGGGGTTAGCAGCCCCACCAGGGTCCCTAACTCCAGCACAGAGATGGTGCAGATGAGTGATTGTAGCAGGAAGGGAAGAGCATGCTCAAGGTCACAGTCGTAGGAGAGAAAGCCAAGGATCGGGGAGATGTGGCTTGTGGATCCCAAACATGGGAAGGAAGGCAACCAGTCGTCCCCAGCTCCAGCCTCGCTTGGCCTCCCTCTCTGTCCCCCTCTCTGAGTCTCCTATAACCACCTACACTGCCCCCACTTTGCCTCACTGCACCCCCATGAGGTGGTCTCCCTGACCATCCCAGACCCTCCAGGGCAGTGAGGCTCCAGGGGCCCTGCTCATGCCACTAACAGCCCAACACAGGAGCCCTGGTGGCTTAGTGGTTATTCCTTGGGCGGAGATCTGAAAGATCAGCAGTTCGAAACCACCAGAGGCTCCTCAAGAGAAAGACCAGACCGTCCACTCCCGTAAAGAATGAGAGTCTCAGAAACCCACAGGGGCAGCTCTTCCTTGTCCTGTGAGTCAGCATCGACTCAATGGCAGTGAGTGAGTAGCAGCCCACCACAAGAGCCCTGGTGGCTCAGTAATTGCGTGTTGGGCTGTTAACTGCAAGGTCAGCAGTTCAAAACCACCAACTGCTCCAGGGGAGAAAGATATATAAGTGTGTAGTCATGCTCAGTGGTAGGGGGTAGGGGGTATTAGGCAATGTTTGGAGAGAGTCTGGGGGGTTGTCACAGTGGGTGTGAGGTGACCTGAGACCCCAGCTCTAACCATCTACAATGCCCGGCCAGCCCCCTATGAAAAAGGCTGATTGGACCCCCAAATGCCGTGAACAAGCAGACGTCAGCAGGTGTCAAAAATCATTGCAGCTGTCAGGCAGGGGTGGGAATGTTTTTTTCTGCCAATGGCCATTTGGACGTTGAGGACATCGTTCCCGGCTGGGCATTTTACCAGCTGATCCCCGGTTTGATACACTGGAACTGGCCCTTTGTGGTGAGGCGGGGGACGGTCGCTGGGACGGACGATGTCTCTGGCCTTGTGCCGACCGGAATCTGGGTGGGCTGTCCCCCGGCAGTGCTGTAAGGGCATGGAGGAAGACCGGGGAAGGGCGTTCACGTCGGGTGGGTGCATAACCACAGCGATGCTTTCCCCCCAGATGTGACCCTCGAGTGCCTGGGCTTCAAGTGGGAGCTCCACCAGCCCCAACTCTTTCAGTCTGAGACTCTGACCAGGCTGTACCTCGTGGCCCTGTCAAGAGGCTCCGTGAGCCCGCTGAGGGAACTGGAGAAGGTTCTGAAAGGTATGTCTCTCTGGCACCAGGCCTGGCACCCCGATTGCCTCCAGCTCAAAGGTCCCCTTTGGCCTCTCTCATCCGAGGCCAAGGTCACGTGGACTGTTAAAGGCTAAGCTGTGGTCTCGCCCTGGGGACTGAGGCTGTCGGACCTCAGCAACTGGCATGCCTGTTTCCGCAGCCCAGAAACCGGGATAACGGTTCTGTCTGGGCAGCGGGTGCGTGGGGCCCCAAGACCACACCCGGCACCTACTAATGCTAGTCAGGGCCGGATAGTCTTCTCGTAATCCCACAAGCCTTGTCCATTAAAAGACGCAGCCTCACAGATGGAGAGACGCTGCCTACGGCCTTGTCATGAGAGGCTTTCTGGGAGGCCACCTGGCTTTTTGGTCAGTGGCGTGTTCGGCCCAAGCTTGGCTGGCTGGGCGTGTTTGTTCTAGTGTCTTTTCTTTAAACCAGTCTCGTCCCAATGAGTTCTTAGTCCGCTCTGTCTTCTTCCTGGGGTTCAGTCCTGACAAGCCCAGCTTCTCCCTATTTCCCCAGGCATCCTCTCCAGCCCACAGCCAACTTCCCTGGGCTTGCAGTGAAGGCCCGCAGACACTGGGACCCAACCCACTGACACCCAGTCTGCCTCGACGCACAGACCCTACACAGGGCTTCCGAGGCTGGAAAGGAGTCTTTACAGGAGCAGCCAGCCTCATCTTTGGCCCTCAGATCGGCTGGGGAGTTTGAACCACACACCTCTGCTAGGGAAAAGGCAAGGCCCTCGAGCCAGCCAGCCTGCAGGCAGAGTGGGGTGGGACCGGTCTGGTGGACAGAGCCCCCAGTGTAGGAGGGAGGAAGGGGCTGGCCCCGAGCCCCTGACTCTGCCTGCCTCCAAGGAGCTAAGAGAGAGCTGAGGGTGGACCCCCCACTCCCAGGTGGACCCCCCCACACACACACACACAACCTCTGGGCTCACTCACTGGTGCTTGCCTTCCTCAGTGTCTGCCACACTGACTTTGGGAGTGGCCTGGGCCTCTCACTGCCGCCCACAGTCCTGGGCACAGGGACGGGGCTCCCCAGCAGATGCTGGCTCAGCTGAGAGGATGGTGGGAGGGAGAGGATGCGGGGGGCGGGGGAGGGGGGATGGAGCGTGCACACACGCGTGGTGATGTCAGAGGTCTGTGGTACTTCTGCTGAAAAGAAACTATCTGTTCCTGTGAGGACAGGCCCTCTGTGGCACACTCGCCTGCGAGAGGCTGCCGGTGATGGGAGTGCAGGTTAGTGTAGAGACAAAGCCCTTGTAGCCCTGCCACCCAGGGACCGGTCACCCGAGTGCTGTCACCCCACGGCCCTTTCATCAAGTGTCCAGTGTTCATCACTCCAGTGTCCTGCCACCCAGAATCCTGTCACCCATGCCCCATCACCCAGTGTCCCATCACCCAGCGTGCCAAGGTCGCCTGACTCCCCAGGGCCCCGAGCTTTGGGAAGGAGACGGCCCTGGGGCTGAGCTGAGGAGCCCCCCACTGGTGCCGGGAGAAGCAGGCATCACTCAGGTTGTATCCTGCTTCCTGGAACAGCTGCGCCGCTGGCCTGGTGTCAGCAGCTGAGAACATGCTTGGCCCAGCGTGGGTGCGATGGGGGCAGCAGAGCTCAGCCCCCCACCCGAGCCCACAAACAGCTGGGGCTTGGCTGCAGGTTAGCGGAGCCTGTTTATTCTCCAGCACCACAACTCCTGTGCACACAGCTGGCCTTGACACGCCCTCACAGGGCTGTTCTCTCATGAGAACTTGAGGCTTTACTTGAAGTGGGGGCTGGGGGGTGTCTGACCCTGAGGCTGCAGTCAACAGCCAGTCTTCATCGGTCGTAGGGCCTTGTGCTAGGGACTCACCACCTGGGGCGGAGGGAGGCAGGCAAACCCAGGGCGAGGCTCAGACAAGAGCATGCTCTGAGGTCCTGCTGGCTACCTCTCCAGGTGTGCCCCACTGTGTGCCGGGCACCCCCGTGATGACCTCACCCTCCCCTCCAGGGGGCAGAGGAAGGACAGGCCGGCACTTAGTAGGTGCTCAATAAATGGATGCCGACTTCACTGAGCGTGCTTCACTCAGTAGGTGCTCA